ACCTTGTGAGTTATATGAGGCAGACTGTGATGAACAATTTATTGAAGTTTCACTTTTATCTTGGCTGAGGCTGTTTTTTCCCTCTTCTGCTGAAGTATTTTTTTTGCCCAAGTAAGAATTTCCTGAATTTGTCTCTGGGCAAGCTATGAAAGAACAAAGAATTTTAAAGTCTGGCTGATTAAAAATTGCTAAAGTTCTGCCATCTATATTTCAATTTCATAAGACTTCAACTACAAATCTAAGAGTAAAGTTATATACTCATCTACTCCTAATATAGATTTTAAAGGCCATCAATATTGTCAGTGATGTTAGTGTTGTATTATAGATAAAGTCTAATAATAATAATAATGATAATAATAATAACAACAATACTATCTAACATTTGAGTGCTTATTATTCCCCATGTACTGTGCTAAGTGCTTATATATATGCATTAAATCTTGAATCCACACAAAAATTCCCATTCTACAAAGGAGAGAGAGCAAAGGAGTAGTGGAATCAAGATTCAAACCCAGGCAGTGTGGTCCCAGAGCCAGCTCTCCCAACTACCCCATACTGCCTGACTGGAGAAACTCTGAGAAAGTTTCACTAGGATAAGAGATAAAAGTTGTTTGGGTTTAAATAATAGGTGGTGAGGAAGTAAAGCCAGAGAATAGATAATTAGTTTAGGATATTATATTTGAGTGCCTATTGTATACCAATCACTGTGCTAGTACCATAAAAATTGTGGTCTCTGCCCTGTGGTGCTCATCTAGGAAAGGAAATTGAGAAAATAATACTATGAGCAGGAAGCAAGACTCAGGAAAGTTTTTCTTTGCCTCTTAAATTTAGGATAGTGAAGACTTAGGCATGTTTACATAATGAAGAGAAGGAGCCATCATATGGGAGAATTTGAAGACTTGTCACAGACATTGATCTATCAATTTTCAGAGTGGTAATTTTCAATAACAATAGTTTCCTTATATTCAGAATTAAAAATTTTTTTAACAATGTAGATGTAAAACATACAAATCAGAGTCCTAGAAATTTGGCATTTATGTAATTAAAATGACCATCATTGATAGCTAAATTCAGTTAGAAGCATATTTTAAGCCTGAACTATCTATTTGCTCTGGATATCCACATTGATTAAATTTCTATTTAGCATTTTGAAATGTCAATTGATGGTTGTTGGCATCAATTCAACACCAACAAGAATCCCCAATTTGGGGTGTGGCAATCAAGGAAATTTTCTTTAGTGCAAACATCTCAATTGTGATATGGCATGGCTGTGGAATAGCTCAATAGTGTTACAGCTCAATTATGAAGCAGCATGGTTGTGAGGCAAGGTGGATCTGGGGCCAGGCCCTCTCTGGCTAGACAGCTGTGCTGTACTCTGCTCTGGTCTGGTCTGCTCCACCTGCTCCAGTAAGGTCTGCTCTACTCTGCCCTATACTAGTCTACTCCACTATCCTGCAGGGAGACACTTTTGTTGTTTCATCTCTATTGTTTCAGCTGCAGCCATGGAAAGAGTCTTGAGTGGAAATGGAAAGTGTGCTCCTTGAGCCAGAGGGGAGATGACTTATATAGACAGAAGTCCCTGCCCTTGGTACCTGATTGGTCCATCCTCATGCTAATGAGAACAGTTCGATTGGTCGAAAAGGCACTGTTCTGATTGCTCAGAATGGAGCCACTCTGACTGGTTGATGAAGATGCCAATGGGGAGGCTATACAGAAATGGTTGGTCAAGATGGTGGAGTAGATAAGTGCTGTGCTCACCTCCTCTCACGACTACATCAAAATTACAGCTAAATACAGAACAACCATCGTTGAGAATCACCTGAAGTATAGCTGAACCAAAGCCCTACAACTAAGGATATGCAGAAGATGACATACACCTTGAGACTGGTAGGAGAGGCAGAGATGCAGAACGGGCTGGTCCCACACGTGCATGTGACCACTGAAAGCTGGGATGGATATCTCAGCTGCGGAGGTACCCCCTGAGAAGTGAAGGGTCCTAGCTCCACACCAGGCTTTCCAGACCAGGGTTCAAATGCAGGGGAGAGAAGTCCCCATAATTCTGAGCATTGAAAACCAGTGGAGGTTGTGGCTGGGAGAGATATAGGACAGCTGCAGTCCCAGGTGTTCCTCTTAAAGGGCCTGCACATGGACTTACTAGCTGATGGACTCACTTGCTCTGAGCTCCAGCTTGGGGCAGCAGCTCAAAAGGCACCAAGGACAAATGGGGAGGAATTGAATGATCTAGTTTTAGGGGCTGCTCATGGTGGCTCATGGCAGCTCACAAAAACTCACGCCCGCTGCCAGTCAGCCCCGCTGCAGCTCACGCCATCACCGGCGACTCACAGCAGCCAAGCTCCAGGTCAAGCTGTTGTTTACCATCTTAGCTGTAGAGGGCGCAGCATCACTGGCCCTAATGTGGGATCCGAACCGGGGTCCTGATGCTCAGAGCTGGCGTCCCAAGCCAACTCTTAACCAATGTGCCACTCGGCCAGCCTGACAGAAAGCTTTTTTAACCTGGCGAAGGAAATGGATATTCAAGCCCAGGAAGTGCAGAGAGTCCCAAACAAGATAAAACCAAAGAGGCCCATACCAAGACACATCAAAATTAAAATGCCAAAGTTTAAAAACAAGGAAAGGATCTTAAAAGCAGCAAAAGAAAAGCAATTAGTTACCTACAAGGGAGTTCCCATAACACCGTCAGCTGATTTGTGAACAGAAACTTTACAGGCCAGAAGAGATTGCAGGAAATATTAAAAGTTATGAAAAACAAGTGCCTACAACCAAGATTACTCAACCCAGCAAAGCTATCATTTAGAATTGAAGGAAGGATAAAGAGATTCTCAGACAAGAAAAAGCTAAAAGAGTTTATAACCACCAAACTAGTATTATAAGGAATTTTAGAGGGACTTCTTTAAGATGAAAAAAAACCCCTCAAACCCATAAAAAATATGAATAGTAAAATGGCAATAGCTACATATCTATCAACATTTACTTTCAATGTAAATGGATTAAATGCTCCAATCAAAAGATAGGGTGGTGAATGCATAAGAAAACAAGACCCCTTTTTATTTATTTTTTTTTATTTTTTTATTTTTAGCTGAGCCATCCTGCCACCTGTTGGCAGCTCAGCGGCAGCTCAGCTCAGGCATCAAACCACTGTTGCTCCGAGCTCACACTCTTGAGTGAGCTCTTAACCAACTGAGCCATTCGGCCAGCCCTCAAGACCCTTTCAAATACTGCCTTTATGAGACTCACTTCAGATCCAAAGACACACACAGGCTGAAAGTAAAGGAGTGGGAAAAAGATATTTCATGAAAATGAAAATTTTAAAAAAGCTGGGGTAGCAATACTTATTCTAGACAAAATAGACTTTGCAACAAATGTTATAACAAGGGACAAAGAAGGACCCAGTAATCACACTTCAGGATATTTATCTGAAGAAACCCAAACACTACTTTGAGGGGACGTGTGCATCCATATGTTCATTGCAGGATTGTTTACAATGGCCAAGATGTGGAAGCAGCCTGGTGTCCATCGATGGATGAATCAATAAAGAGGAGGTGGTACATATACACAATGGAATACTGCTTAACCAGGGAAGGAGATGGGTTCTTGCCATCTGTAGCATCATAGATGGACCTGGAGGGTATTGTGCTGAGTGGAGTATGTCAGACAGAGAAAGACAGATGCAATGTAATTTTGCTTATATGTGGCATCTAAAGAACAAAATGAACAAACAAACAAAACAAACAAACTCATAGATACAGAGAACATTTTGATGGTTGCCAAATGGAAGGGGTGTTGGGGGTAGGTGGAAAAGATGAAGGGATTAATAAGTACAAATTGGTAGTTAAATAGTCATAGGTATGTAAAGCATAGGGAATATAGTTAATAATATGGTAATAATTATGTACAGTGCCAGGTGGGTACTAGACTAGTCAAGGGATCACTTTTGAAATTATATAAATGTCTAACTACTATGGTATACACCTGAAATTAATATAAAATAATATTGATTATCAACTGTAATTGAAAAACTAAAATGGTGGGAAAAGGTGAAAGGGAATAAGAAGTTCAAATTTCCAGGTATAAAACAAATAAGTCATGGGAATGTAATGTACAGCATGGGGAATATAGTCAATAATATTGTGATAGTGAGGTACGGTGTCAGAAGGTTGCTAGACTTATTATGATGATCACTTCTTTAGGTATACAACTGTTGAGTAATAGTAATGCACACTTGAAACTAATTAATATTGTATGTTAGCTATATTAAAAAAATCTTTATAAAAAGATGCTTATGGGAATATAGCTGCACAACTCCTATTGAATGAGAAAGCCTCAGTCCTGTGGTTGAAATACACGTACTTTTCCAGTAACTCCTAAAGAAGGGCTGGCTCAGAGGGTAGGAACACAGTGCAGGCATGCAGTTCAGTGCGGGAGGCAGGCAGCTTAGTGCAGGCTTCTCCCTGAAGTGCGGTTTGAATGAGAGGCCCCTCTGTAGAATTGGCTGCTAAGCTCTGTTTTTTAAAATTTGAGCCCAGTTAGCCACCAGGAGCCCTTCTTACTATGTATCTTCTTTCTCAGGGTCCACAGTAGAAATAGTTCCAAGGTAATGCTATTCCCACTCCATCACTCACTTCTACTTTCTTATTATTTTTATGCAAACCAGTTCACAATTATTGAGGTATATCTTATCAAAGGCTTCTTTTTCTAAGGCAAAAAAAACACCCCAAAAACAAACCTGACTGATAAAAACTAGATGAATTTATTAATTTATTATCTATCTATCTATCTATCTATCTATCTATCTATCTATTGCCTATATTATACAAGCATGGATTTATAATGCAGGCATGTAGTGATAAAAAAGGGGTTTTATAACTTCAAATGACAGGATTTCTAGAGGTTACCTTGTTTTTCATATGAAAGGCGTTGTTTCAAACGAGGGCATGGAAACTAGTAAGTGTTGCCTTCTGTTTTTTTTGTACACTTTCCAGAAGTTTTTGACTGAAGACTCTATGCACGGTAGTTCTTTCCACAGAGAGCTAACTGATATTTGAAGAAGCTTTTTATTTCTCCAAGAAAAATATGATGTATTTTTCCCAAGCCTCACTTTTGTTCTTAAATACATTTATTTTTATTTGTGGAGAAGCTATACAAGGTAACTGTGTACATCAATCTACGGTAAGAACTTCAGCAATATTATTTTAGCTAGGAGAGCATGATTATATGGTTTTAAAAATATATATTAGATGTTTGAAAAGATTAACTGTACCACCCAGTATAAATTATGGAAAAATTAGTGTTTATTTAGAAATGCTGAAACTTTGCTTAAAAGATATTATATTTAAACTTAGGAAACCATAAACTGAGGATTGATTCTTAACACATTTCTTGTAAAAATATTTTTTAAAAATTGCAGGCCTTGGTTAAAATACTACCTAGCAAATTTCTGATTAACTTTGATAATGAAATATCCGGTAGGTCATTTAAAAATTAACTTAAAACTATTCTATAAAATTTTATATTTCAAATAAAATATTATGAGTGATTACCTAGGAAATTAGAACATTTTATTCAAAACAATGTCAGAATAGTAGGTAATAGAGTATATACAATGTTATGAGTAGATGGGGATTTGAACTCTATGTATTTAAATGTTGGTTTATTTTTTTTAAAGTTATGGAATGTATCAACCACTGTATGAATACCAAATTTCAAAGTTCCAAGGTTGAAAGAATAAATTCTAGGAAAGCTACAGAATATTAGTAATCTAATTCTTTAAAATATTAAATATTTAAGAATCTTATTTAGATGTGAAAAAATATAATTGTAACCTAGGTTTTTGAAAACATCTACTATGTCAGTTATAGGAGTAGAAGAGAGAGATCAAAAGGTTAAAAATAGATTTATGCAACAAAATGTGAGTATATTTTTGGAGCAGATATCTTTTATAATGTGATTAGCTGTTTACATTTCTCTCAATATCCAGGTCAGAGGAGGACAAGGCTTGTTACTTTTTTGTAATAACAGAGTTATCTAAATTTATATAACTTCTACCAAAGAATATTTTAACATTGAAGAAACCAATAGTACCAACAAACATAGATACCTTTGAAATGACAGACTTTCAAAAATGACTTTTGTTGTAGATTTTGCAAAGCAAAATTCCATGCCTTTTTTCTATTATCACTGATACCTTTAAAACCTGTGATTACTTTACTTTTCAAATCTCTAAATACTTTAGCTTGTGCAAAAGAGACAATTTTCCTACACATTCCTCCCACTCCCCCATTCCACCCCCCAACATGATTTCTATTAATTGGTGGCAGAAAGCTTATTTGGCATAGAAGTGTTGTAGATATGTCAGGGAATCTTCTTAGTCCATGTTCAAGGAACTCCAAATTGCAAGATTCCTGGAAGAAGGATGACTCAGCATTTCATCACACATAGAAATGTGCAAGTTAAAGGTCAAAGCCATAGAGACACAGTTATAGAATGTAGACCCTAAATGCAGTTGGCCCTCCATATCCATGGGGTACAGAGGGCTAACAGGTTTAACAAACTGTGAATTGACAATATTTTGAAAAAAAGTTATGTTGTTGCTGACATTTACCATGTAGTTAGGCCTACAATGATTGCATATGTACTGAGCAGGTACAGACTTTTTTTTATTTTATTTGGTCATTATTTCCTAAACAATACAGTATAACAACTATTTACACAGTATTTATATTGTATTAGGTATTACAAGTAATCTAGATATGATTTAAAGTATACAGCAGGGTGTGCATAGGTTATGTGCAAATACTATGCCATTTTATGTAAGAGACGAGCATTCATGGATTTTGTTATCTGCAGGGGTCCTGGAACCAATCCCCCATGGATACCAAAGGATGACTGTAAATCCTTTTGGAATTTGAGAAGAAAAAGGAAGAGCAAAAATACTGAATTAATATATACTTATTATTCATACCCCAAAATCTACCCATAGAGTTTATTTGTGGAAGTTTGAACTAACCAATTTGTTACATTTTTTTTCCTAATGGTCATTCTTATTGTGTCATGAAATCTCATCTTTTCCCTATAACCTTTCTATTTATTGTGTATTAGTCCATATAACATACTTCATATATATTTTTCTTATTTCTATTTTTTAATGTAAAGGATTCTCCGGTAGTTAACATTGTAGAAGATGTATCTAATGCAAGCAATGAAAGTAAAAGTAATGATACTGTTTATAAGGAAGATTGTGAGGAATCATGTGATGTTAAAACTAAAATTACACGAGAAGAAAAACATTTCATGTGTAGTAAGTATTAAAAATAACCACAATTATAAAGGTATTTGATTTATTATTTCTAGGGCAGACATAGAAAAAATATACCTTTGCTTTTTTCAGGTTATTTTATATATATCCTGATCATCCTAGGCCAGATGTTTTGTGCCTTGGCACATAGTACGTGCCTAGTAAATATTTGGTAAATGGATAAATCCTTCTTTTATATAGCTCTGTGGCATCAATACATCATGGAAAGAAGGGGCAAGCCAGAAGGCACTGATAGTACTATTGTTTCAATTTGCCTAGGGCTGTTTTCTTGCTTTCATTTGAAACACTTGGAAATTTCACCTTAGTTTTGAGGGGGGTGGAACTCAATATTGAATAATTGCTACAATAGGCATAATAGAAATTCATAGCAATTTATGCAACAAAGCATAAAAATAAAAAGTTTAAAATCTCAATTTTTGTTTAAAACTATATCGTAACGATGCAGTAATTTTCATGGTCTATTATATGAACATAGTGGGGTGGGACGAAGACGGAGAATCAGAAATGGAGGAGGTGATGATCTGGTCCAGCTCTTACAGGACTTTAATTCTTAGGTCAGAAAGTATAAAAAGCTCATTTTAATGTGCTTAATCTATGTGTAACACAAGTGTCTCAGGCTTCTCAAACCAGTGAGTGAGGTTTTAGGTCCACTAACAGCTGTCTAAAATGAGGAAAAATCTAACAGAAAGTGAGAGATTGAAAGTGAAAAAGAGAGATGAAGTAGAGTGAAATAGATGTTAAAATATCAGGAATTATTAATGTGATTCTATTGCTAGAGTGAAAGTTAAGAACATTGAAAGAAAATAATTTTTTTAAGGAATGATGTATGCAATAATGTGCAGTTCCTTTTGTTGTAAAGGACATCGTCAGTATAAGTAGAGAAACCTACATGTGGTCTGACAAATATATGAGTCAATGTTTATTTTCTGGTGTTGATTGTTGTGTTGTAGAGAATGTCTTTGGTGTAGAAAATACACATTGAAATATCAAGGCACACCATGGCAGCATACTCTAAAATGATTTCGGAAAAAGTGCTTTGTACTGTTCTTACAGATATTTTATAAGTAAGATTGTTTTAAAATAAAAACATTTTTATAGAGGAAAATATATAGAGAAAATTAAAAAAAAACCAACCAACCAAAACTTTTGACTAAGACTTATTATGTGTATATGTATATGTTTGCAATTTGTTTATATAAAAATATAGCATTAATAGAAAAAAATTAAAAGAAAAAGTTATTTTAAAAATTAAATTGCATGATAGGGGATTATTGTCTTTTACTTTCTTATATAGTAAGAATGGATGAGTCTTGGACTTCCTGCTTCTATGCCTCTCATCTTATAAAGTGAGAATTGATATTCAGAATTTTGTCTCTCAATTATATCAGATTAAATTATTTTAGGGCAATCGAAATTATTAGGAAGCATAGTTTCATTAAGAAGTGTTAAAACAGTTGTGCTCTTGGTTAATCCGGAGTTAAACAACAAAAAAATATACTAACTGGAATATACAATTCTGAGTATTTAGATATATTGTTTACATATTTATTTAAAATCATGTGACAGTCATTATTTTTCATTGTAATTAGTTTCTATAATAATATAATATTTAGCCAACACTTTTTATTATGATTTAAGGAAATTTGCAAAATTCTATTATTTCTTACACACGAAGTACCAAAAAACTACTAAGAAATATAATGGATGAGCAACAATCTTCCTTGGATTACTTATCTAATCAGGTATGGATTTTTTTTAGTATTGTGTGGTTATTGTATGTATACATTGATATAATTATCTAGAGGTCTAATCATTTAATTTTTTAATGCATTTATGTCTAGACATCTAATTAGTGCCTATTATGTTAGAGGCAACATAGTAAGCCCCAGGCAACAGAAAGCAGTAACCAAAAAATGGACCTTTACTTAAGGGTTATACAGTCTAGGAGAGCAGAAAAATGTGTTGAAAATGTTGTGAATGCTGTTAGATTAACACAAAAAGAGATATGCAAGATCTGAGATTTGAGAAAACTTCAGATGATGGAGCTCCTGAACTGAGTCATGAAAGATGACCAAATGCTTCAAATGTCACAACGGTTAGATAAGAAGGATAGGGCATTTCATTCTGGGGAACTGCTTGGAGTTGGTGTAGTTGTGGAGTGGCTGATGAGTTAAGAGCGCATAAGGAAAACTGACTTAAAGACCTAGGAAGTAAATCATGCCACACTAAGAAGTCACCAAAGTGTCTGAGCAGGGAAATGAAATGGTTAGATTGGCAGCTGGTGTGGAGGATGGCTTGAGGATGAGCAGAGAAAGGAGGCAGGGAAACCAGGTAAGAAAATACAGCAATGGGTCAGGCAAGATATAAAGAACAGATCTGTAAAAGCAGTCAAAGGAAGAAATGGGCAGATAAGAGCAATATGCAGGAGGTAAATATTTAGTACTGAATTTAATAGTTGCTATTTAGCTATGTCTTTCCTGCTTTGTTAAAATAGTGATTCAACATAGAAAATGGACATTATATACATGTCAGAGCTGGATTTATAAGAGGCTTAGAGATATCAGTTATAAAATTCAGATAAAGGATGTTTGTTCATATAAATTTGCTTAAATGTGTGCATGTGTATTTAGGTTAATGAGCTCATGAATCGGGTTCTCCTCTTGACTACGGAAGTTTTTACAAAACAGCTGGATCCTTTTCCTCACAGACCAGTTCAGTCACATGGTGAGAACTTTGGTATTTCAGCCTTTCCATACTTGCCTTTTATTGCTTAAAATTTTCCTGGACAGGTTGGTGCATTTAGTAGTTTTGTTTAAAAAACACAGCTCACTATTATCTAGCAGACTGGAAGAATAATACCTGGCATTAAGCAAATGTCAACCCACACTATGTGTACTTTCCTAAACTGGGAAACTTTTCTGTTTGAAGGCCATGGCTGTATACAGATATCCTGAATCTGTTGAAAATAGCCTAATTTATGTAATTGAATTCTGGGCTCCCTTTTACATTTTATTAATAATTAATCTTCAGTTAGAAGAAAAGAAATTTCAGAGTTCCCCCCACCTGTAAAAAGTATATTTGACATCTTTGAAATATTTTAAATTGGGACTTAAAATTTGAAAAGAAAAAGAAATAGCACAGAAATAAACTGGAATTTAACATGTTTTTGCACTAAAATACACTATAGTAATTTCTAGAGGCATGAGTTTCTAAGAAAAATACCCCACAAATCTTACAAATATGAATTAATATTAAAAGTTCCAAGCAGGTGAATATTATTGAGGACCTACTAGTGTATAATCTCTCTTTTTTTCCTTACAAAGGGAAGGAAATAAACAGTTACTGCGAATCTCCTCTGTGTCAGGTATAGACAGACATTTTCACATGTTATTTCATTATTTTTTATTATTTTAATTTATCTCACTTATTTCCCATAACCACCTTTGGATAGGTAGTGTATTATGGTAGTGAAGAACATGGAGTCTGATGTCAGACTGCCTTCTTCAAATCCCTTATCCACTGTTTCTCATCGGTAAACTGATAGTACCTGCCTCATAAGGTTACTCTGAGGATTAAATGAGTAAATACATGAAAATCCCCTGAAATATTGCCTAATGAGTAGTAAGACAATATAAGGGTTTGCTGTGATGGTGATCATTATTAGGTGAGGAATATGTAGCCCAGAAAAATCTAAATAATCTGTTCATGCTTATTTGAATGGTGATGGCAAAGCAGATATTCCAACCCAGGTCACTGTTTCAGTGTGAACTTCTATCATATTTCTGAAAATAAAGTTATTATAGAGTGTCTCAGCAATTCAGAACAAAGGCAACAAATCTGTGTCTCCTGGAAATGAAGGAGAAAGCAAACAATTTTATAGCTAACATTTGTAGATGACATCTTCTCAGTATTTACTGTACACTACACTGTGCTAAGTGCTTCATATAATGCCTGAGGATGTAAATCATCAGAATAACACTATGAAGTGGATATTATTATTATTATTATCATCATTGTGATATTCCACATGATGAAAAAAGAGGTTAAGTAACGCTAATATTCTCAGCTAGTAAGAAGTGGAACTAGGACTCTAACCCAGGGTCCTGGCTCTGGAGTTCCAGGCTTTCACATGTTTGTTTCTCTGGATGATTGACACATGTAAGGGTTGAATTTATTTTATTACATTTATAAAAGATAATACACAGTAAAGTATCTTAAAATAAAATGTAATATCTGTATCCACATACCAGTAATATGTTTACAATTCCCTGGCAAGTGGAATGCTTTGGAGAGGGTGATTATAAGGTGCTATAGTTTTAACTATTGTCAACAGAGCAGGCTCTAGCTTCAAGATTAATTTCTTCTTGATGAAGACAGTGATTTTTTTCCCCTCTCCTCCCTTTACTATTGGTAATTTTGGTTCCCAACACATCAGAGTCTCTAAAGTTTTGAATAGAGTAGTCAAGTATATGTCAATAGTAGTTAATCTACTTACTCCTTTGGGTTTTCTCCTCTACATACATACAGATTAACTTTACACATTTTACCCCCAAGATAAGCCTAGATTCCTGAAAGAGCAACATTTATTGGGCAAGAAAATGTATAATTATAAAACATATTAAATAAATGTTGATCTGAAATTAACAGTATTGACTACTAATAACTAATAGTGATGTTATGTTTATTGCAGCATGCATTCTTTAATCCCACTTCTTCCATGTATTTTCCTCTATTTCTAAAATTGAGATCATTTTTCATTTCTAAGAGTTAAAATCATCATATCATTAATGGAAATTATAATAATTTCAGACAGCACTGTTAATTCTCTACATTAAAGTGATTACCTTAAATGTACACTTAAAATATCCTAAATAGCTAATTTTACTTTTTTAGGTTTAGATTGTACTGATATTAAAGATACCATTGGTTCTGTCACCAAAACACCAAGTGGTTTATATATAATCTATCCAGAAGGATCAAGCTACCCATTTGAGGTAAAGTTTTCCCTTATTATATCAATAGCATAAGCATCCAACCAACCTAATTAATGTTAAAATTTAATTGTTTTAATATTTAATTTTTTTCTTGAAGATTTTTAAATAAATTAGTAAAAGTTCCAGTTTCAAAATTTTGGTTTTTCTGGAATTTTTTGTCCAAACCACAAACATGTAAAAGAACTAGAGAGTCTTTCACTTTTCTCTTTGAGTTTATGGTTTATACTTTTTAAAGTAAATCCATTTGGTGCACCATCTTATATTATCCTTACAGTATGCAGAACTGTGCAGTATAAATACTTACTTTAATTAGCTTATGGGTATTTGAAAATAACTGTGTGCTTTGTCTTGGAGCTTACTAAAAATACTTTGATTTCCCATCTTACATATGGTTATATTTTATTTAGATGACAAGTGATTTTATGTGACTGGATAAGAAATTAATAATTTTAAGAAATTATTCACTAAAGTGTGAGACTGAGAAACTGATTCACTCTTAAATTGAATATGATAAATTATTCATGTCTATTCTTAGTAGTTCTATACTAGGATTTCTAGAAGAAATTTCTGCTAGAAATTATGTGTTATTTACAGGACATATATATATAATACATATATATTTTTTTCTGGGTACTTTTTTGTGCTTAAGAAAGTTTATGGTACTGATATCATACTTTATTAATAGTCTATTACATAACAAAATAATTTTTTTGTAAGTAGATTCTCTTCTTAGAGTTACTAATATTATTTTTTTGACATCTATTCACAAGATGTAAAAATTAGGAATTAGGTGGGAAATAATTTTAAATTACTTAAATTACTTCACCTATAGATTAAAAAATAGGCCTGAAGAGATGTGGAAAAGGAAGTCTTCTAATTCTTGAAGAGTGGGATGCATAATTGTCTCTTTTGTGGGAAAGTGTTGGTTCCTTAACTTTCTCCATACTGCCTTTCTCTGTGCCAGGGAAGTGTCTAATGGAGAGGACTACTTGGGTTTCCTCCCTATGTCACTTCTGTGGGTTCCCTACAGTTGTCCTCTTAGGGGCATTTTACACAGCACCAACACATGTACCTATGAGTGCCTGCTGACATGGGACACAGATCATGCCTTTCTGTCTGAAAATTCCAGTCTAAACAGACTTTCAGAGAAAAGAACAATCAAAGACAGGCACATGGCCATAGTTAACACTGCTTTAATTGGGTTGTTGGAAAAGTCATGACACATTTTTGCAACGAAAAACATAGAAAAAGTACATCATGGCTTTTCCAACAGCCCAATATTTTATCTTTTAATTTAATCTTATTATTTTTTCCCCGACAACCCAATATTTTTAAATCAGCACTTTTAATTCAAAGGAAAAGTTAATTTGTAAAGAAATACATCACTCTGCCACATCTTATCGGCACTGTTATTACTCAGCTGAAAAATATTTAGAGTTAAGGAATAAAAGAAAAACCTTAAAATGCTACAAACTCCTATATATTTTAAAAACTGACTGACACTCAGACTTGTATTTAGGTTAACTACAAGTTTGTTTTTATGATAAATAAAATTATTTCTAGAAATTAAAAATATGAATATATTAGTGTCATATAATTACATTGAAACTTTTAAGTGAAAATCTTCTGTTTGTTTTAACCTTAAGGGTGAAGCATGAGTTTTATATCAAAGAATGAAAATAATAGTATGTTATTTTTTCTTTTCTGGGCCTATTTTAGGTAATGTGTGATATGGATTTCAGAGGAGGTGGATGGACTATAATACAGAAAAGGATTGATGGGATAATTGATTTCCAAAGGTTGTGGTGTGATTATCTGGATGGATTTGGCGACCTCTTAGGTCAAATTTTATTTATTTCTCCTCTATCTTTGGTTTTTTGTTTTTTTTTAGTATTATATCTGTAGGCTGTGTCTCTTGATCAAATCATTAGTAAAAATAGCAAACTGAACATTAAAATATGACTTAAATCACTCTTAATGTGACAAATTTTTTTAAATAAGTATGTCTTCACATGGAATTTGGAAATCTTTATTTTTAGATACCAATATGATTTGACTGAAAATTCTAAATTAGGTGTTTGTTTAGTATCTACTATGCACCCATCAGAGTTCTGGCAGGTGCTCAACAACTATTTGTAGAATGAAAAACTGAATGGGCAGGGTTGTCATAAACCTTAAAATTCTTCAGATGTGTGCTGGGTCTACACAAGCAAATGAAATAAAAAATTTAGGTATGTGGCTGTACAAAGTCAAATAATGTGAACTGGAAGTAATAAAAATATCAATTAAAATCACTATGTTCAAAATTTGAAAGATGTAAACCTCAGGTCGATTGTAATATGTTTACATTATTGCTACACAACAGCATCAGTTTTACTGGTGAATAGAAATATCAGTATTTCTGAATACTGTAGAATTTTACAATAGTTGAGATGTTTGCAGGTGATTTTGATCACTTTTATGCTTTTATTTTAAGTCACTGTTGTTATAATCTAAATTTTTATTATCCCATAATAATGTCATCCAAGGATTTAGCACTGAATGCCAGTGATTTTAGGAGGGACATGAAATGTAATAAAATGTTATATATAAGGCCAAATAGCTGCTGTGCTATAAAGTACAGTTAATATACTTGTGTTTTCTCAGCATTAACCTCTAAACGTCCAGTGAGTGCTTCCTCCTGAATTCAGGTTCTAAATTGTTATCTTCCTTACGTCATGCTTATTTCTATGGGGAAATTGAGTGATTTTTGACAGAAAGATTTTCAGGCAGTTATCCTTCACTGCTTTGTACTTGGTATATGTTTTTTAAAAACTTGGAATTAAGTTAAATATATTGTTAAGTCTTAAATTTGAGGGTAGGGTAGAGGTGGAAAGATGGCAGGGGCATTTAAATGGAGAGTTATAGACTAAAAGATATTACTTAGACCCCTAGGAATCCATCTTACTTCCTGTACTTCTTCAGGATAATTTTCAGTTCTAAGTGGGTATGTAGCTAAAATACCCTTGTAAGCCCTGGGGAGGCAGTTAGTATCTTAGCTATAGTTTTAAGAGTTTGAATGCTGTCACACTGTTCCCCAACTCTTTGAAGTTTGCTAGACCCTTACTTCCTTTAGTAATTTCATGATTGAGGTAGAGGGGTATGTGTCAGAACAGGAGTGTCCACATTTAGGCTATGCCATGGTGAGTAGGGGGAAGTAGAAAGCCATTGGCTAGGAGTATGCAGTCTGAATTGGGGGGAGGGGTTAATGATTCATACTGGATGTACAATCATCTTGGAAATATTGACCCTAAACCTGGGGATCTCCAGTGTTGCTATATTATGTTTCCATTCATAGGTAATTCACAAGCTGCATTATAACAAAGAAATATTTTTCACAAAGCATTATTCTCAAAGACAGAAAAAAATGATTTCAACTGAGCATTATCAGGAAATGTGTCTTTAGGAAGTGTTAGTTTGGAGTTTAAACCTCTTATATTCACCAGTACCCATCATTTTGTTACCTGTCATAATATTTCAACCGGCTTTTTGTTGATATGTTTTATGACAAAACTTGACTTTTTACTTAATTAATCTTTAAATGAATTTTTGTATTTAATTTGGGGGAAATAAAAGCGAAACAGAGTCTAGTTATCCCCAGTCTAGTGATTTAGAAGTGGGAAAATTTTTTTTTTGTACATTAAGCAAACACTGATAATTTTAGTGAGGGCCATCCAGTTCCTCCAATGATTTATGTGAGCCATTTCAGAGTTATTGAAACATTAAACAACACCAAGCAGTCAATAATAGTTATTCTCATTTGTATTAAAATATATTTTAAAAAGCTTTTTTTATTTTTACAGGTGAATTCTGGCTAGGACTAAAAAAGATTTTTTACATAGTAAATCAGAAAAATACCAGTTTTATGCTGTATGTGGCATTGGAATCTGAAGATGACACATTTGCTTATGCATCATATGATAACTTTTGGCTAGAAGATGAAACAAGATTTTTTAAAATGCACTTAGGACGGTATTCAGGAAATGCTGGTAAGTTTTTTATTCCTAAAATTATCCAGAAGATTTAAATATAACTGACTCAATATTAGGTAAAGATAAAGGTAATGTGTTTTTCTTGGTATATGACATGAAGAATAATAGCAAAGGTTAGGAATGAGAAAACTTCTCAGGTTTTGAGTTTTGAAATGGTGCTATGATTGTTGCACTGCATCATGATTTTGAGGTGCTTTATACTCTTTAAGACAATTTGCCACAGGTAACCTCAGTTGATCCTTTAGATAGAGAGCTGGGAAAGTATTATTGACATTTTCAAGTTCAGAGAAGTTGGCATTTAGAAATCATAAAATGTTAGAGCTGATCTTCACTCTTCTCACTTTACAGGCGAAGAAACCTGAAAGATTAAGTGACTAGCTCACAATTCACAGCTCGCTACATCTGAGCAGGGCAAGAACCCAGGTTGATAGAACAGCTAGCTAATGGTTTTTCACTGTACTTTGGCGCATCTACTCATTTCCAAATAAATTTAATTTGTTAGAACTTCAAAATACTTGATATTAAATTTACATTTTGATGCTAAAAATTTAAATTTGAGTTAAGAAATTCTAAATTCAACTTTCTTGTTGCTCATCATGGTACTCGTTCATTGTGTATTTTTAGTGTTAGAAATCCAAAAATGATATATTTCTAGATCTTTAAGTGATCACAATATAGATGGGGTAAATAAATAAAAGTGAACATAGAATACTTTGTACACAGAGCTTTGGAGTTTAAAAGGAGGGAGAAAGTGATTCCAATTGATTGCATATAGAAAATCATCATTGAAAGGCAGTTTTCAACAATGGGTTTATATTAGATTCAACCTGGGACGCTTTTGAAAGTCCTGCAGAATCTCATTCAGTAAATTTAGGCCCAGGTATTTGCATTCACAGTGTTGGCATCCTTATAGTTGAGAGCCACTGGTGATCTGTACTTGGAGGAATGGATAGGCTTTTGGCAAACAAATGTTGGCAAAGAGAGCAGCTTAAGTCAAGGCACAGAAGGAGGAAAATTACTTGGTATGAAGAGTTGTTTGGTATGGTTGGAAGGTTTGACATCTGGGAGGGTTTAGCTTTGTGGTATTGGTGAAAGTCTGAAATCTTTCAAATATTGATGTAGAGGGAAAACTTTGAAGTTACAATGCATAATTTTTAGTGCTTCATCTCTAAAAGTATAAAGAATTGGGCCGGCCGAGTGGCGCGATGGTTAAGAGCTGGATTGGGACGCCAGAGGGCCCCGGTTCGGATCCCACATATGAGGGCCGGTGACACTGCCCTCTACAAAATAAATAAATAAATAAAAGTATAAAGAATTATCAAGATACGGCACATACTATACTAGGAAAAGTTTATGTGGGGTTTCTCTAAAATATGATTAGGATCCAAGTGGAGAATAAATTTTATAATGGCAAAAATGTTTTTTTATTACAGAATTCTAAAATTTTGGCATGCCTTATTGTACATTTTCCCAATAAGATTGTTAGGTAACTTTCAATTGTTGATCACATAATATACAATCAAAATAAAGAAAAAAGTTGTCAATAGAATGTAAAGTTAGAAACATAGATAAAACAGATGGATTTAATTGTGATCATGTGTGTAGTAGAGGTAGCCTGAAATTTGACTTTGAGCTCACAGAAAAAATGGAAATATGAAAGTTGAACATTTGAGAAACCCAGATGTTTCATGAAAAAGACATATATTCCGGATTCTAAAACGTGAAATAAATTTCTCTGTTTTCTAAGGAAAACAAAGTGCCATGTTCTCTAACAATACTCTCACAGAAAGCATGGTGGTGAGTTTTAATGGGCTATTTCCTAAAAAATAGACCTATGCATTATATTTTTGAAATAGTTTATTAAATATAATCTAGAGAGGACCCAACCTGATGTATGATCCTTCTAATGGGTGAACTTTGTTCAGGGAGAATATCTGTGAAGGGATCATATAATTTAGGCAATGCTCCATAAGTACTGTCTCTCTCATCTGAACTTCTGAAAGATATTGTCCTGTGTGGGTGTTGAAAATATATTCTCTCTGCAAATACTTGCAGTGTAGACATTCTGTTTCCCATGAAGAACCACGTCAGAGATTCTGGGTATAGGTATAGGATAGGCCACCACTGGTAATGAAGCTCTCCAGATTCCTCAAAGACATATCTCAAGAGATGCCAAACATTTGGACGCATAATAAAACAAATGTGGGTTTTGAATTCTTTAAAGATTTTACATAGCTTCACTTTTAGTTCAAACATATTAGCAGAGTTCACCTACAGGTGAAATCTAGGTACAATGGGACTAATTAGAATCTTATTTATGTAAATTTTATAAAACAAAGCATGACTCCTGCCCCTGCCACTTAGTTAACTGGGTTGCTTTGGCCAAGACACTTAACCTTTGAAGATTATTGTGAGTATGAGGGATATCATTCATATAATGTCCAATGTAAACCCTTTAAAAATTGTATTGTTTTAACCTCTATCCAATTAATTCATATATCATGTGGAGAGCCTTGAAGAAAAAGTACATCTCAGTAGTGTATCTAATTTTTTCTTGAAGGCATTAGGCATTTTGTATAAACTTGGCTTACAAATAAAACCAAACAACTTTTGCAGTTACAAATTAAGTTTATTAAAGGTGGAAGTTTCACATTCATTTATACCTCTCTATCTAAAGTGCCGTAAAATGGTAGTGTGTGAAAATCTATTATGTGTAAATTATTTTCATTTCCTAAACTACCAATCATTACGTTACTCTTCCCTGAAGAATGATAGGTCTATACACCATCGTCTTTGGCCTGAATTATGTCTACACAGCCAAACTTCCATTTTGGATTGTGATTTTATATCAAATGTCCACTTAAAGAACCCGATTATGTTGAGGAATTCATCATCAGGTTTTGGTATATTTCAATCTAGAGGAGAGTTTGTGATATGATACCTTGTAGGAAGTCATTTAAGTCTCACTTCTAGATGTAGTGCTTTTGCATAACAGGCTGGTAAAAGTCAATTAAAATTACAAACAGTGCTTTTAAATTTAATCATTAAAAAATCTGTTTTACCCAGGTGATGCATTCCGGGGCTTCAGAACAGAAGATAATCAAAATGCATTGCCTTTCAGCACATCAGATGTTGATAATGATGGATGTCGCCCTGCATGTCTGGTGAGTGGTCAGTCTGTGCAGAGCTGCAGTCACCTCAATAACAACACTGGCTGGTGGTTCAACCAATGTGGTCTAGCCAATCTGAATGGCATTCATCACTTCCCTGGAAAATTGCTTGCAACTGGAATTCAATGGGGCACATGGACCAAAAACAGTTCACCTGTCAAGATTAAATCTGTTTCAATGAAAATTAGAAGAAGTTACAATCCATATTTTAAGTAATCGTGTTTCAAATTATCAATATAATGCATGTTCCACAGTTGTTTTGGATAATACATGAAAGATTTCACATAGCTTCTCTTTTTATTGAGTGTTTCAAACATTTAAGCCAACATTTAACTATAGATGACAACTAAGGGGTTAAGAGCATAATTAGAAATCTTTAATTTTGTAAAGTTTTGTAAAAGAAAACATGGCTCAATGTACGCTTTTACTACTAACTATATTAACAATATGTAATAAAATTTGTTTTAAGTGAATTACAACTTGTCTTCCTGGAGTCTATTATCCTTTTAAAGGATTTTCCTTTTTCTGTAAAGCATTAAACCATACTAGATTCTTAGAACAATTGAAGACAGCATTACATCCATTTATATGTTCATTCTAAATAATCTATAGACAATTATAAGGAATAACTTTGTGCTTTTATTATATAAACTTCACATGGTTTAAAAACCTTACTATTTCCAGGTGATTCCATAGTATTTTATAAGTAATAAAAGTTTGTTTGCAAAAACAAGTCCTTCTTCTTTTCACATTTTATTGTAGTTAATAATTTTATTCTTGTTTTTAATAAATTTACTGTACATTTATACCCTGATCAGTTGCATTCTAAAACACCTTTACATCTGAACTCTTTTTTTTTTTTTTAAGATTTTTTTTTATTGGGGAATTGGGGGGGATGGGAACAGTGCTGGGGAATTGGGGAAAGGGGAACAGACAAGTTGCTGTCGTTTTGTTCTTCAATCTAGTTGTGGAGGATGTTGCTTCACTGGCCCAAGTTGGCACCATCATTGCGCTCTTCTCTGGCGAGGCAGATCAGTCGCCGGCTTCTGGACGGCCGCTCACTGCGGCTGCTGGCCGCTCACGCTGGCTGCTGGCCACACACGGTAGCCCATGGCAACCCACTGCCACAGGGACTGCAGCCTACGCCGTCGCCGGCGACTCATGGCAGCCCAGCTCCAGGTTGAGCTGTTGTTCAGCATCTTAGCTGTAGAGGGCAGTGTCACTGGCCCTCATATGTGGGATCCGAACCGGTGCCCTCTGGCATCCCAAGCGAGTTCTTAACCATCACGCCACTCGGCCGGCCCCTGAACTCTTTTTAAGCCAAAGGAAATGGTATGAACTTAAAGTGAAAGACAGTGGAGAAAGAGCAATGACTACAGGTGGCTCTGGGAAGCAGGTCCCCTCCACTTTTTGCAGTAAATTGGAAGGAGTTGGAGTGGTAAGGATTCCATGGGAAAATACAGCGGGGAACATGTGTGTCCAAGTGTAAGTTATTGATAAGAAAGATGAAGGAAATAACTAAGAATTGTATCAAACAGAAAAGTACTTTGTTCAGAGTTAAGATTATACAATGTAGAAATAGCTGAAAAAGAGGACAAAATTAAAAATACATATGAAGATAAATATATCAGGGTGAGTAGCTGAGCCCAGATTAGGGCTAATCTAGATTAGAACACAGAATCTTATTTGCGTTTAAGGATGGGCAAAAATGACACGGTCACCATTCAGAATTACTTTCACTTTTATCTCCTCTACAAGCAGTGAATAAATCATGTACAGAATACACATGAGATAAGGTTGCAGGAGCATGAACATGTTTCCCATGACCTGCTGTGCATCTCATAGAGGCAAAGCTGAGGTTCAGGTGGGAGGAACACAGAACTGTGAATTTTTATACCTACAGTGATGTTAACACCAGAAAAATTTATCTACAAATAGGGAAATCCTTTTGCTACTTAGCAAGCCATATCTAATGCGTGGCTTGAAATTCTTGCTGAGTTTGTACGGGACAATCTCCTTTATTGCACTGCAAATTCTAGGGGCTTCACATTTTTATTCCACCATAAAGGCTATGGAATAATAGAAACTTTGAAGTTAAAAACAGAATGGGAATAAGTGTTGGGATGTTAAAGGAAAGACAGACCCAAAGAGTGCAAGAAATAGTAAATTCTTTAGGTTTAAGAGTGGGAAGATATATTTGATTTTGAATTGCTAAGGGACAATAGCCCCTAGGATGCTTTGTGAGAAGCTGTGAAAGTATTAAGGCCTCAAACCCCACTGCAAAAGAGAAGGTATATCTTGGGTAATAATCCTGAACCTCAGACTCCCCAAAATGAAGTGACCTGACCCTTAGAAGTTAAGAAATCAGGACAGTGGGTCCGTTTTTGCTATCTACTACCTCAACAGCATGCACATATGTCTTAGAAGGAGGCAAAAAAGGTCTCAGTCAGATTACTATGATCTGAATTACATAATTATCAATTCATTTTTTTCAGGGTCTGAAGACTTTCCTGGATAAATGGTCCCATCTAAAAATATGTACTTTATTCTTTCATTTACTTATACCTTAATTATCAGTAAACATTGAAACTGCATCCAGTTAAAAATCAAAAGTATACAGATCAGAAAACTTCTCTCTATCCTATCATAGATTAGTTATAAATAGAAAAGTTAACATAATAGCTTTGAGAACTATAGTTCTTAGAAATAGTCTAAAAGCAAGTAATAATCTATTTAAAAATAATTATTACTAAGACACAGAAATGACTCTAAGTAGCAACACACTCATGATCTTTGATTAGAAGACTTGATGCAAAGGACCTCAGACATATGAAGCTGAATAGTGAGCGTGAGAACCAAGAAAAGTTTTGAGTTGCAGCAACAATGTGTGAGGAGTACTTAGTTGTGCCAAGGGGGTCACTGACACACTGCCTCACTGGCAGGCATGACATAGGTTTTATTAAGAAAATAATGTACAGGCTGGTAGATAGCAGAGCCTACTTGTCTTAATGAACAGTGTGATCTGGGATGGCAATTTTGTAACAGTGTAAGCTTCAGCGTTGAGAAAGGGGTCTTGTTTGAAAGAGGGAGCCCACTGAAGCTCAGTCAGTGGCTGGTACCAGCCTGCCCTTTCCATTAAGCCACTGCGGATCCACTGAGCCTGCTATTTAATAAGCGACCCAAAGGTGGGAGACAACAAGTCTCTAGGCCAGCAGTTCTCAACCTTCCTAATGCCGCGACCCCTTAATACGGTTCCTCATGTTGTGGTGACCTCCAACCATAAAATTATTTTCGTTGCTACTCTATAACTGTAATTTTGCTACTGTTATGAATCGTAATGCAAATATCTTTTTGTTTTCCGATGGTCTTAGGCAACCCCTGTGAAAGGGTCGTTCGATCCCCAAAGGGGTTGCGACCCACAGGTTGAGAACCACTGCTCTAGGCTCTTCAGATTTGTTGCTAAGGTAATCCATAACTTTAAAATAAGGACACCATGAACGATCCGTAGGACTTTTTTTTAAACTTTGAAAAAAAATTAAAGTGCTTCTGGAAGTGTGATAAATGAGAACAGATAATATGTTTGAAAAAAAATTGATGGGGCCTTGATGTATTGATTATGAAAGTGTATTATAAATATGAAATTTTTATTACTGTGTGATAAAATACCACAAACTTAGTGGCTTTAAAATATATTCATTTAATAGCTCACAGTTCTATAGGTCAGATGTCTGGCAAGGTGTGAGTGGGTTTTCTGCTTAGGGTGTTATTAGGCTTAAATCAAAATACAATAATGTCGAATCACTATTGTACACCTGAAACTAATATAACATATAATATTGTATGCCAATTATACTTAAATTAGAAAAAAAAAGATGTTATCCAGGCTGAGCTCTCATCTGGGTTCAGGTACCTCTTCCAAGGTCATTCGTTGTTGGCAAAATTCACTTCTTTGTGGTTGTAGGATTGTCTGTCTAGCTGTAAGCTGCGACGGCTTCCATCCCCTAGCTTGTCATATGGGCAGTTTATAAGATGGACATTAGCTTTCTTCCAGGCTAATCTAAACACATTTCTCTAACTTTCTCCTCTGTAGCCACCCAGACTAGTCAGAGAAAACATACTGTTTTTAAAGAGCTCATGTGATTGGGTCAGGCCCACTTTAATAATCCCCATCTTAAGGTTAACTGATTTGGGACCTTCATTACACCTGAAAAACCTTTTCAAAGCAGTACATATATTAGTGTTTAATTAAATAACTAGGATAAGGTATATATATATATATATATATATATATATATATATATATGAAAGATGCTGGGAGTTTTGAGGGCCATCTTAGAATTCTGCCTACCTCAATAAAGTAGAAAAAATAAAACAATTACAATGAGAAAAACAGGTCAGTAGAATAGAAATTCTATAATGATAAGGAAATATACTGGGGGTGCCAAAAAATGTATGCACATGACTGTATTAATCTTTTGTTATCAGTATATATTCAGTATTACAATTTTAATACAGTTTTTTCCTTTCTTAAAATGTGTATACATTTTTTTGGCACCATCTGTATAATGTAGTATATGAGAAAAGTAGTTTTATATCATTGGGGAAGAAACAGATTGATAAAGCGTAATGAGGAAAATGGGTAACAATTTGAAAATAAAAAGGAATATCTATTGTATAAAAATTAATTCCAGATTGATGAAATACATGAAAACCCCCCGAATCATTTAGTATTAGACAAACATACCAGTAAATTTTTAACTTTAAAAGTAGAAAGACTTCATTTGAGGACTTGAATATTTGAAATTTCTATATACCTAAGCAAACACCCTAAGCAAAATTAGAGACAAGTGAAAAACTAGAAAATGTATTTTAACAAATGACAAATTCTACTCCTTATATATAATGCATCCTAAAATATAAGAAGAGAACATTCTTTTTTTTTTTTTTTTTTAAAGATTTTTTTATTGGGGAATTGGGGGGATGGGAACAGTGCTGGGGAATTGGGGAAAGGGGAACAGACAAGTTGCTGTCCTTTTGTTCTTCAATCTAGTTGTGGAGGATGTTGCTTCACTGGCCCAAGTTGGCACCATCATTGCGCTCTTCTCTGGCGAGGCAGATCAGTCGCCGGCTTCTGGACGGCTGCTCACTGCGGCTGCTGGCCGCTCACGCTGGCTGCTGGCCACACACGGTAGCCCATGGCAATCCACTGCCACAGGGACTGCAGCCCACGCCGTCGCCGGCGACTCATGGCAGCCCAGCTCCAGGTTGAGCTGTTGTTCAGCATCTTAGCTGTGGAGGGCAGTGTCACTGGCCCTCATATGTGGGATCCAAACCGGTGCCCTCTGGCATCCCAAGCGAGTTCTTAACCATCGCGCCACTCGGCCGGCCCAAGAAGAGAACATTCTTATAGAATAACATGGACAGCATATAAGCGATCAATAAACACATAATTATGAATATTCAATCATAACTAACATTTAGTATTTACTCATGGATCTGACTGAGTCCTTAGAAGAATCCTATGAGTTAGGTATTATTTTTATTAATACTTCACTGTGAAGACAGTTGAATCCAGTATATACCCACAGTTCTACCGCTTATATGTAAATGAACTGAATTTGAACACAGATATTCTAAACCCTTTCCACCATGCTAAAACAGCTTGGTGTGATGTACAATATGGGTGATTATGTATGTCTGGCCCTGCTCCCAATCTGTTCCTTGTCCCCTTTGTGCTATTGTGCAGTGAATGTTCTTATAAGTAAGGACAAGTCAATTGTTATGCTAGTCTGAAATTGGTTTTCAGTGATGTTATAAA